ATGTGGGTCCTACAACAAATCAAGCCTGAACTCTCCCTGAAGGCAAAAATGTTGAAACCGAAGCTGTCCTACTTCGGACTCATTCTTAGAAGGCTGGGGTGTCTGGAAAAGACAATTATGCTGGGAAAGGAAGAAAGCAGCAGGCAAAGAGGAAGACCAGATAGGAGATGGACTGAATTCCTAAAGGAAGCCACAATCTTGAGTCTAGAAGAGTTGAGCATGGTGGTTTAGGGTAGGATATTTTGGAGACCATCATTCCTAGGGTCACTATAAGTCAGAAGCGACTTGCCAGCATATAACAACAAAGTCAAGGCTTGAGTTCCTTGTTGTGCACCACAGGTGTGACCTGGAACACAACAAGAAATACAAGTGTTGTCTTCTTCACAAGTAGCACATCACCACTGTGATTTACACCATTTGATGTTGTGGGCTGGCCCAAGTAATAGGTTTTTTTCCCCTCTTTATAGTGCACTGCTTCTAGATGTGGAATCATCACTTTTAACTGCTACGTCTTTCTGATTTCTTTTGGTTTTACTTTGCAGTCGAAGTAGCTGGACTGTGTTTAGGATGAAGAGAATAAAAATACCAAAGAACTATGGGAATTGGATGAGATTTTTTTTTTGCATGAGCTGAATTCCCTTCTGGAATTATGTATACATAAAATCATACCAGCCAGCCAAAGTACATGTGATAGAGAAGACTAGAATCAAAGCAGCAGCTGATAGTTTTCTTCTCTCCCTTTGTCAAGTGCTCTGTTTCACTGGGTGGTGCTTATGAAAGGAGTGAGAAATGACTCAAAGCACAGTGATGTCATTCTGCAAATTGTAGCATTGTTGGGGAGCTGTGAAGATGAGACGTGCAACAGCCATTGTCTGCAACATGTGGGGCTAGAACAAATATTTTGAAATCCGGGATGGTATATTCCTCCCTCCCCTTTTTGCTAAGCCTCGTACTGCACAGATTAAACTGTGAACCAGAATCTGAAATCAGAATCAAGCCATGGGGTTCACGTACTGGTTTGTGTTGCACAGTTCTGAACTTTTGGTTCAATTCCTTTTGCTACACAGTACAATTACAGAGATTCCAGGATAGTCCACCCATTTCTTGTTAACTGGCATTTTAAGTTCTCAGTAACTCGCTCTGAGACACTTAGTAGAGAAAGAACAAAACCTTTCATTACTTACAGTTGAGAGCAGATAACAGCAAACTAACAAACAGACTGCTTCTGAGAGACAAAAGAGAGAGAAAGAAACACAGAGGAGAGAGGGAGAGCTCTCTTTGAATTTGGAAGCAGAGGGGAACAATTGGTTAATGCTGTCTAGACTGACAATCATCCCAGCCTATAAAAGTCCTTCCCAGCCACACAAACCACAGAAGCATGCAAGGTTGTAAAAGCTCCAGTGGTTTGAACCCATGGTGACTGTATGAAGATCTGTTAGAAGCATTACTTTGCCACAAACTAGAAATGGAAACTTCTAATCTGCTCCCCTTGCATGTAGGGTGAAGGGGGAGGAGAAGACAGCCTTTCAGGACAAGGAATGATATGTCTTGTGCGCAAAATAATAAATTATGATATGTTGTCATGTTTAAATTGTGCTTTAGTATCAGCTTCCAAGCTGCTTCATGAGATTATAATCCCTTTTCAGATGTTATTTAAATCTAGGCGTGCATGTGTTGCCCACACTCACCTCATTCATATTCATTGGTTAAAATCCTGTTGCCTTAAGCTACACCGTGTACAGCTGATATTGTCACCAATAGTCGAAATTTCCAGTGTCTTTCCAAGCTCCCCATATTATCAGTTTCATCATCAGGAAGGCATTTGGAGCCATGGGACAAGAGGAGGAAGTCTTTAATTACAGGAAATTGCCATTGCCAGGATGACTTCACCGGTGGTGGAGATTTCTAGCAATTAAAGACTAACTCCTCCCATCCCTCAGCCCCCAAATAGCTTCCTGACAATGAAAGGGTTTACACAGGAATCTTGGGAGTTTTGTGGGGAGAAGTAAGAAAAGTTGATTTCAAAAAAATTGCCACTGCTGTTGCTGCTGATGTCATTTGCCTAACACACTGTAATTTACAGCAGCAGTATTTGTTTGTTTGTTTATATGCTGCCTTCCCCCCCCAGAGGTGACCCCCAGAGATGACGGTGGCTTCCAGCAGATGAAACAACAAATTCAAAAACACTGTATAAATATAATTTTAAAAAACATCAGGATTTCAGTCATCATGTTTGAAGGAGGCTGCATGCATAACAACTGTACAGGTTAATTGAATCATGCCAGAAAGCATGCATGCCTTAGCCCTGTGCCAGAAGAGTGCATTACAGCTCTTAAAGGGGAAGAACGGGGGGTTCTAAGTAGAAACACCAGGCGCCTTTTTTTGTGTGCATGCGCCAGACGGTGCCATCAGAGATCCGTACACCATAACTATATGCCAGTGTAGACAGGCAGTCAAATGATTTTACCAGCACCTTCCATGCACCCACTATCTGCTGTCTTCCAGCCAGCATTTTGCTTTTGAAAGAGTAGAAGAGGGAACACAAAAGGCTTCCCAAGAAAAGGTGACTTGTCTCTGAGTCCCACTTTGTTAGTTTTGCAACCAGAAGGTTTCCTACCACCAGCTACCAGGGGTTTGTAGTCTAAAAGTAACTTTTCCAAGGTTTTCAGTATAGGTAGCAGGGGTTGGAGTGTATGTTATGACCGGCTTTATCCCCAGTTTGTGTCACACTCTTGCCCTGAAAGGGAAGCTCTGTTGGTGCCACCTATAGAGGCAGTCCTAGAAGCCGCCTCAGAAGGACAGGCATCCCTGCCCATTCTTGCTTGGTATTTCTTCTGGCAGGAAGGTTGTGATAATGTGGGGAGGCAAGGCCTTTGAAAACGATGGCACTGCCGTTGTGAAAGGGATGGAAGAGGAAGCAGTTCCTTTTTTTTCCCTTTTCATGGAGTTCAAGAAATAAAAGGAGGAAACCATTCCTGCAGACCTGCCCATCTCTTGTCACCTGTACTCGTAACTACCAGAAAGAGGGATCGGGGGGGGGAGACCCTTTCTTCTAGTTTCCAAGACAGCTAGAGAAAGAACAGAATGTGTGGACTAGATTTTGGGTCACATGGAAAACATCCCTATTGAAATCAATGCATTTATATTCACGTTGACTAATGAGCTCTGTCTATTTCAACAGGTCTGCTGTACTGTATTTGGGGTTAAAACTGGATTTAGCCCCACATTTCCTCACTGCCAGCGTTGACCTAAGGCATTTTGCTGCCTGTGGCAGAGCAGAAAATGGTGCCTCCTGCCCATTTGCCCACAAGTTAAGATGCCGTAATTACCGAGCCAAGCCAAGCTGAACCTACTCAACTTATTTTGGTACCCGAGGCAGGAAACCTCAAAATCACTTTCCCCATTGCTGGGCTGAAAAAATGCATTAAATAACTAACAACGTAGTGTTCTTAATGACACCCTGTATCAGCTGTTTCATTCTGCCTAAAAGGAAGGCCAGCCATAAACTCAACTGAGTTCAGATGCTCTGTGTTACATGAAAGCATAGTGAATTCTGGAAGGTGGCTTCAGCCCATACAATGACTATAACCTGAAGGAGTGTGATTTTCCCTCGTATTTGGCCTCAAATGTTCAGCATCGTATCTGAAAGGTATCTTTTGGTATCCCTCAGGAAATATTTTATAATATTTATTCATTCAGTGCTTGGGATGCCACCTAGGCGTGACCTCAGGGGATTGTGCTACGACTTTCTTGTGTTTCACAGCTACCTAACACAAACAAATGTATGTGAAATCTGCTCTGAAAGACGTGTGCTGAAAAACACTGATAAAGACTCCTGCAGCAACCTTTTCTAGTGTTCCCCTAGTAAAAATAAAATAAAATAGATTGCTATTTCTTAATTTTGTCAGTGGCTGGAATCCTATTCATTCAGCTCTGCACATGTAAGACTGACGGCATCAACAGCCATTGACTTTAATCCATTCCCCTTATCCCTCTGGTTCCACGATCCAATGTGAAATTTGCTCTGTGCTGAAAAACATTGATAAAGACTCCTGCAGCAACCTTTTCTAATGTTCCCCTAGTTAAAAAAAAATAGATTGCTCTTTCTTAATTTTGTCAGTGGCTGGAATCCTATTCATTCAGCTCTGCACATGTAAGACTGACGGCATCGACAGCCATTGACTTTAATCCATTCCCCTTATCCCTCTGGTTCCACGATCCCCTAGGAATCCCTTTCAACCTGGAGAAGCCTTCAAGACTTTGGGGTGATGGCGGCGGCGAGGGAAACTTTAAGGCCCAAAACTTGCTGCCACCGATCCTGGGGGAAAGGAAATGTTTAATTAAAGATTAAAATCCATGGCTGATGATGTCATCGGCTTTATTCCTGTGGAGCTGCAGGAGCAGGATGCCAGATAATGAATTTTGGAATCTTGTCTAGGGAAGAGATGGAGCATGACTCTGTTATTTTTAAGGCCACATTTTGACTGAAGTCTGCGATCACTTCCTTTTCAACCTTCTCTTTTCAGACCAAAAAAATCTATATATTTTGATAGTTAGTTAGTTAGTTAGGCATCCTTCAGTCTCGAAAGACTATGGTAATGTGCTCTGTATGGAGGACTTGGAACAGCATCTACTGTGGCTGAGGAGGCCGATTTGAGAGTGACAATCTCTTCCACACTGAAGACAAATACAATCTGTCCCCTGTCCAGCTCCCTGGTTTTGCTGCTTTTGTGACTTCCTCTTTGCCTCGGCCTGCTGGACAAGGGTCTCTTCAAATTGGGAGAGGCCGTGATGCCTCTCCCAATTTGATAGATATGCTGTATAATATAGAACATAAGGCATAAGCCCATGGAAGCCTGTTTTCCTAAGATACATCAAAATTCCACAAGAAAGAACTTGTGATGGATCAGTGGGAGTCCCTCCCTGGAATTTAGCAATGAGCACCCCCCCGCCCCCCTCCCCATTGCTGCTAACCTATACTGTAATGAGATCCTACTTACCCTGTGGCTGCTTGTCCTCCTTAGGCTCAATTTTGTTGCTCTTTGCGCTGTCGCTGCCGCTCTCATGCTTTGGTGGCTCTGCAGTCTCTTGGTCAGTATTTCTGAGAGGTTCATCTAGACTGAATAATACTGGTTGCTTGGTTGATCCCTTCTTCTTTTTATTCTCTTTGGTTTCACCTCGGACGTGACTCCATGGACTTCTACTCCAGCCAAATTTTTAGAAAAAGAAAAGTTACAGGATTGTTTTTATTCCTAGTTATGAAAAATTTGTTTATATTCCTGGTTTGTTCCTGGGAACTCTGGCCAGAGGTGTAGTAGAGCCAGAACTCACAGGGTTAAATCCCCAGGGCTTTCTAAGTAGCAGAAATTATGATATTACTCCTGATAAAGCATTTGAGGATGGGCTATTAGCCAGAGTAACTGGGTCTGGTCACAGAGATCAAATAACCCCCCTGTTACAGCAGCTCCACTGGCTCCCGATCCAGGCAAAATTCAAAATACAGTTGTTAACTTATAAAGTCCTAAATGACTTGGGTCCAAGCTATCTCAAGGACTGTGTCTCCCTTTATGAGTTTGCCTTGGTGTTAAGATCCTCAGGAGAGGCTTTTCCTTCTTTCTTTCCCACCACCTCCACAGGTGCTCTTGGTGGGGACACCGGAGAGAGCCTTCTCTGTCACTGCTCTTAGACTCTGGAACTCCTTTCCACAGGAGGACAGTCTGGCCCCATCTTTGCTGTCCTTCCGCAAGCAGGCAAAGACCTCTCTCTTCAAGCAAGCCTTCCCTTCATTACTGGCCAACTGTATCTATAATAGATTCTGGTGTTTGAATGTGCCGTGAATGTGTTTTGATTTTGCTTCTGTTTGATCCTTCTTAGTATTTATATACCCTGTTTCCCTGAAAATAAGACCTAACTTGAAAATAAACCCTAGTATGATTTTTCAGGATGCTTGTAATATAAGCCCTACCCCCAAAATAAGCCCGTTAATTGAACCCCCGCCCTCCACCATTGTGCAGCCACCAGAAGAAGAAGTGACTGTATTTGAATACATGTAGATTGTTGCACATAGAAAAAATTGAACATCCCCTGAAAATAATTCTTACTGCATTTTTTGGAGCAAAAATTAATATAAGACCCTGTCTTATTTTCGGGTAAACATGGTACTTGTATACCACAAGGAGCCTCATGGCGCAATTGTTAAACTGCTGTACTGCAGCCAAAAATGTGCTCACAACTCAGAGTTCTGTCCCAGGTAGCCAGCTCAAGGTTGACTCAGCCTTCCATCCTTCTCAGGTCAGTAAAATGACCTCCCCCAGCTTGCTGAGGAGGGGAAGCAATGTGTAGCCTGCGTAATTAACATGCACACCACCCAGACAGTGCTTTAAGCACTATGGGGCAGTATATAAACAGTACACTTTGCTTTTTTTAAAAAAATGTTTTAAAATATTGTCTTCAAATGATGTTCACTGCTTTGGGTCCTTCTTAAAGGACTGAGAATTTTTAAACAACTGTTAAAACATGGCTTTTGCAACCGGTCTTCCTGAATCTTGCAGCACCTTAATTACAACACCTAATTACATTGAATGGTCTCAACATTTATACCATCAGTCTTGCTGTCTTGCTCTAGTTATTATTTTATATTACTTTAACTATTATTATTTAAAATGTTGGTTGCTTTATCTTTATTTTAATTTTATGTTATTATGTTCATTGTTTGGAATTGTGTATGTTTTACGTATGTATTTCATAGGTAAACCACTGAGAGTGTCCTAGTGCCAGATGGGTGGTATAGAAGCCGAACATAAATAAATAAATAAATAAATAAATAAATAAATAAATAAATAAATAAATAAATAAATAAATGAATAAATGAATGAATGAATGAATGAATGACTGAATGAATGAATGAATGAATGAATGAATGAATGAATGAATGTTGCAGAAGTCTGGCTCCCCAAGTGTTGATATGGACCAATCCAGCTGGCTGCATTTTTAGACTCTGTTGATGGCATGGGCTTCCTATGGGGTCAGGCACAATTAGCTCCTAAAATTCCACATGTAGACACAATTGACTCTAGGATTTCTCAGAAAAATATGTGAGAGTCCTTAACGAGAAGATTCACAATCCCGAGAAATTGTTCTTGTGAAACATGATTTGCCCGCAGTTGCTCATCCTTTCCTGCAACGTAGAGTTGCAGTGAAGCAATGGATGTGGTGATGGAGGCCATCCTGCAGAGCAGTGGTTGCCAAATTTGGGCCTCCAAATGTTCTTAGACTTCAGCTCCCAGAAATGCTGGCTAGCAAAGGTGGTGGTGAAGGCTTCTGGGAGATGTAGTCCAAGAACATCTGGAGGCCCAGATGGGGACCACTTCACTATAGGGCACAAAAGACATCTCTCAACCAGGATTGTTGTGATAACAAACCATGTATAATGAATTCTGGATGACTCTTCTTTCTCTCCAGAACTCTCTGCAGTGCATAGGCATTCAGAGGCTGGAGTGGACAGCATTATTTGAAGACAAAAAGTCTTGAAAAACCTCTGACTTCTATGAACAAACAAGAAAGACAATGAATTTGATGGAATGCTAATATATTGGAAAAGGAACCGTTCAATCACATAACACTGAAGCTGAGTTTAAGTGAAAGGTTTTCTAAAATAAGCAAGTTTCAAAAGAGAAGGATGTGGATTTTTTTTTTTTTGCAACATATCATTCTAGGGAAAACAAAAATTAACTCTGGGGTAAAGAAATAGAACTTTAACAGACCACATTGGTTGTTGACTGTAGTGATGACAATGAACTGCTCCGTTCTCCCACCCCAACCTCATCTGATCTAGCAAAAAGCAACCATAAGGGCAAAACTTGGACCTAGCACTAAAAAACAGACTACTGCTTGTTGACCCAAGCACAGTGCCAAGGGAAGCATGAATCTAAGAGAGAAGGGCAGTATTAAGAGTATTTAATAGCAAATAAACCACTTCAACTTCAGCACCTCTTGAGTCTCTACATTGGTTTTGGGCTCCAGCATTAAGTTATATTATAAGGCAGCTCCAGCCACTGTATAGTTAAAGGTGATGAGAGTTTGCTGTTGCTTTCCTCGTGGAAATGAGTGCAGACGTTTGGAGGCCATTCTTCTTCTTCTTCTTCTTCTTTTAAATGTCATAATTTTTATTATGGCTACTTTGCAATTCTACCCCTTGGTCTTATTGCCTTCTGAAAATGTTCGTGTCCGTTTGCCCATTTTCACTAGCCAAAGAATCTAGAGTGGGAATTACAGGGTGAAGGGTTTGATTTCCTAAGCCACTACCACCACCAAGAGTGGGAGGAGCTTTTGTTGAAGCACTTTTCATAATGGAGGATGTTTCTTGGGGGGAAAACGTTGAGCACCATCACTCTGTCTTGCATCAGTGTATCCAGGTCTTGGAGTGAGAATGAAGCAGCTAACCTGCAGCCTAAATTTTCTTGCTCTGTGTGGTAACAGCTTCAGCTTTAGACTGAAGAGGTTTTTTTTTTCTTTCTTTCTCTTTTGAGAATCGATTCTGAAGCCTTGGAAGAATGCGAGTACTTCTTTTTCTGTCTTTTTCAAATGAAATTACTTAAGGTGGAGCTGAGTAGGCACAATGCCACTGAGTTCAGTTTAGCTTTAGGAAACTATGCCTCCCTTGGTGGTTAGTTTAGTCCCAGACCGCAGTAGTGAGGACTGGAGGAAGTTTGTGGTTTCCTTTTGGTACGTTACAGTCCTGACCTCCTGCCAGGACATTGGACCGGAGTCTTTTCCCTGCTTATCACACACTTTAACGTAACTGATACAGCAAAGGGCATGGAGAAGGGAAGTGGGGCAGAGGGAACCATCAAACAAGATGGGGTCCGTATTTCTAGAAGAGGTCAAGGAATATATAACTGAAAACACACTTCACATGTGAGCACCTAAAGAGTAGAAAGAAAATGCAGACAAAACTGAGGAAAGATGGGAGGTCACATCTGGATGCAAGAGTGGGGATGATGAGAAGTGAAAATTATGATCACATAAGATGTTACTTCACATGAACATAGATTAGTGCCAGGAATGAGGGGAAACCAGTGCTCAGACAGAGATAATTAAATGAAGTTAAACTACCATTTTTGGTTGACATATCAAGAATTAAGATGGCTGGATCAGTTACTTTTGGATTACAAGCTAGACCTCAGAAACCCCACCTCTGTTTTCAAAGCTGTGGTAAACATAGCCAACTCATCCACAGTCTTCCATTTGTAAATACTGTTCAATAAATCAGACCACTTTATATGCTCTGATTTATGAAGCTATAATGATGATAATGAAAGTTCAGCATTTGAAACATGGCAAACACAAGGCAAAACTATGTTAGAAATAGGATATCATTAAAAGCTGAAATATGTTACAGTGTTGGGCATGGAGGAGCAAGCTGTAAGCCAGGTGACAAATGCTTTGAACTTCAGAGACTTGAGGAGAAATCCCAGTTCAATTATAAAGTCGCTTGCTAACTTGAGAGAAGCCATGATTTTTCAGCCTCAATTATCAATCTATCAAGTGGGGATAATAGTGGTACACCTGAGGGACATGTAGTTGAGATGAATTATACATGGACATGAAGCAGTGGGTTTTATACTGGATAACAAGTGGCATGAAGCCACACATTAAAAAAAAATTAAATTCATTCCTCTTTAATTAGGCCAGAGTAATGACTGAAACTCTGCAATCTAGAAGGTTAGATGGCATATGGAAATCAAGTATACCTTCTATATACAGGTTTAATTCTTTTTAAAGGGCAATTACTTCTATGCTTGAGGATATTTTGGATGGGGATAAGAGCAAATTAATGGGAAACATATACTGAAATTATTTAACAAACCTGTGAATGCACATTTGCTTCTTTAATTTTTTTAATAGATTGCAGTTATAGGAAAGCCCGAGTAGAGCAGGGCCTTGGCCTTAGGAAACAGATGTTAAGTGTTCCTTCCATGTAATTTTCCAGCCTCTTTATGTACCATGAATTTCTAGGCATATGGCTATCTTTTTAAATGTTGGAATTATTAGTTGTTTTGGCATCATATTATATGCATTATGGGCTCTTATGGTCAAATATTAGGGCCAGTGTCCTGTTCACCCGATGCAGAGTGGAAAGGCAATCACAGAGAGAGCTCTGGAAAGCTCCCTGTTATGTACCAATTTTTGCACTGGTTG